TGCTTGCAAATAGAAAGTTCGAAGGAGTTGAGTTCCATATTACTGTAAAAGCAACAATGGGGTCCGTATTTTACGCATCGCCATCTCGAATTAACTTATGTCTGTCGAGACCAAAATTTAAAAAACGTAAAAATCACACAGATTAATATGTACCCCTAAGTCTCTGGAATGGAATACGTGCACCAGTGAACCTACAACTACACGATTTATATTTTAAAAATAATTAAATTCACTTAGCATTCAAAACTTGCGAATTTTGAAAAAAACAAATTTGCTGATTAAATGCGGACAACTGTTTAACTGAAGTAAAACGAGTTTTCCCCTTGCTACGGATGTCTTCCTAGTTCAGTTCAGCCACATTCCGCTGCAGTTCGCCTTTATTTTCAGTTCGAAATAGGGTGGTTCCATAATACCTGCAGTGTTCCATAATACCACCTTCTCCTCTAAAGATAAAGTCTGTGGAAATACGTTACATCTGTTGACTGATAGGATATTTCAAACGCAAAGAAAGGTTTTTCCATTATGTCAAAGAATAGAACTTCAGACAAGCTATATCTATAGATTTTAGAGTAATTTAATGATCAACGAATTTACCATAATTTTTCTGATGTCTTAAAACTCAGTTCAGGTCACTTCTGAAAAACATTGGTTAACTTTCTTTGTATTATTTTCATTACTTCTCCAGTTAATTTCGCATTTCAGCACGACTGTTTCCAGAAACTCTGTTGTTTCTAGTCCAAATGTTTCCAGTTTCCGTATAGTTTTTGGAATACAGGAAAAATAAGCTGCTGTATAAGCCAAATTATTTAAGTCATTACTAATTGGTGTAATTTATATAGAGAAAGTATCTGTAAAACATTTTAATGAAAATTACTTAATAAAATAACCATATAATATACAATTATTAAAAATACATTCTTATAAATACAGTTCGTGTTTAATGTTTTCGAAATTATTTCTATAGAATAAATCTGCCTTTAACCAGGTACTGTACCTACCCTAGCCTTAAATAAGCTGCTGTATAAGCCAAATTATTTAAGTCATTACTAATTGGTGTAATTTATATAGAGAAAGTATCTGTAAAACATTTTAATGAAAATTACTTAATAAAATAACCATATAATATACAATTATTAAAAATACATTCTTATAAATACAGTTCGTGTTTAATGTTTTCGAAATTATTTCTATAGAATAAATCTGCCTTTAACCAGGTACTGTACCAACCCTAGCCTTATACAGTATATAGTGAGTGCAGGCATTTTCGCAACGTACGTTTCAGATCAAAAAACGGCTTTGTTCTTTTTTATTCGTTGGATTCCCCTCTATAAGCATGGTGAAATTTCACTGAACTTTTCTGAAACACTCTGTGTATTTTTGTTATTTTGTATATATATTACGTACCACGCATTAATTTTTATATAAGTATATTACATGCCACGCATTAGTTTTTATTTAAGTGAGTTAAATTAAATAATTATCTTTGTGCAATTACATATTCGCATTGCTATTGCATCGATGGATGTTGATGATTTATTATATCTGTACTCAATGTTGCTTCTGCTAATAGTTACCCTGATATAGTGATCACGCTCATGACATGGTGTCTAAAATACAATTTCAAAGATAATAAGCTGTATTGCAACTTAGAACAATTTTTAACGGCCTACTATATGACTAAACTTAGACCCGTTTCCCATTAGAGTGATCCATGGTAACCAATGGCAGCCTCTTACCTTCCATCAACTAGGTTATGTGATTTGTGAATGTTCCCTGAAGACCAGCATCAGTAAATAAAACTAGCACCTTCTCGTCCATTTGTTGGTTGTATAGCTTTAAGATTTTAGCACTCTGCAGTTGGACTTTAAATCGGCCTTAGAACCAGGTTAGCGCTACCCGTATAACGCCATTTCGTTACAGCGCGATTTACTAATAGGCTACTCATAAAATACGAATTTGCTGAATTATTCGTTAGTTATTAAAATTTAAAATTTTATTTTGTTATTATCTACAACCAAATGATTTTTAACAGATTAGTTGGATTCCCGTCCATTTAAATGTTTGGAAACAGAAAGCATGCTTTTTATTGGCTGGCAAAT